GTTACCGGACCAACTTTGAGGCTACCGAAATCTGTAATCGCCCACTCAGGACGATTCTCAGAGAGAATCGCGACACGGTCGTTCTTTTGCACCCCAAGCGCGTTAAGCCCTTTACTGAAGGCATCCACCGATTTCCCGAGTTCGGTGTAAGAGATATCTTGATAGGTGCCGCCTTTCGGTTTGTGTGCCAAGGCAGGTTTGTTGCCGTAGTGCTGAATGGAATGTTCAAACATGGATACCAGTGTCATGATGTCGCTTCTCCTGCTATTTTTGCGACTATCCTAACATACGGCGTGACGCAAGTCAAGTTAATCATTGACGCTTTGGGAATTGAATTATTTATAGTGAAATCTGAAAATATGGAGACATTTCAGAGAACGGTAGGACATTGGGTAGCCATGCTGCTGATGAGGTAGACGCGGTTTTCTAATCGTACCGGTGTTTGTCTAAATTAAGATTAGGAGATTCACAGAACTCGGAATCACTGCTTAGAAAAGGATGTTGTTGGGAGGGAATAGAAACCCCATCGGACCTTTACGACTTCACCAGCATCTACAAGGCGTTTAAGTTCATTTCTTACCGATGTTGGGTGTCCGTCAATAGCGTCAACCAGCTCCGATGTTTTCTTCTCGCCATTCGCCAGAAGAGAGAATATCTGTTCTCGAAAAAGCACTCGTGGAATGTTTCCACCCCTGAGTTTATTCAACATACGGTTCGCTTGTCTTGAAGAGCATCCCAAAATACGTTCCACATCAGTTCTACTGGTGTCAGCCGTTAGATTGGCATGTTCTGTTTCAAAGTGCTACGTGTTGCTATCACCTCAGGAAGTTTATCTAACCCACCTGCAACCTCAAAATCTTGCCAGTCGAAAAGAAGGGCTTTAGGTCTGTCAGTAATGTCAGGCAGTGGAAAACTTGTAACCAGCACAACCGTCTTGCCTGACAAGCGGTTCAATCCTGTCTGCCCTACGATATCTGTGAGTAAACCGGCAACATGCTGTTCATAGACACTCTGGACGCGTTCATCTTTATAGCGACGCGGCTCCGTCTCTGTCTCATAAGAGAGCGGTTTCTCGTCGTTTCCAAATAAAATCTGTGCCCGCCGCCAAATGATACCCGGTTCCCAGGCCGGTGTGCCGACGATCCAAACGACTTGTGCCTCTTCAAAAGCGGTTTCCAAGCCTTCCAACTCTTTGAATTCCGCCACGAAACAGACGTTCTCCTTTTCTGCAACATTTGCAGTTGTCTGGTGATCGGCCTATGGGTAATAATCGCATGCTTAACGCTTAGATCGCGCTCAATTTCTGCACGGATGCTTGAGAATAAGCGTTGTCCGGTTTTAGACGTTCCGATAGTGTTCCAGTTGTCGTAATTTTCTAAAAGTGTCTCTGGTTCATAGATACCTGTGCGGGTCTGAAAAACTTTATTTCCTGTGTCCCATACCGTTGGTTTGAGGCGGATTGCTTCGACTTCTTCTTTTAGAAATGCCTCGCGGAGATCTCGCTCGGTGAAGGTTGACGACATTAAAGCAAGACGTTTGACGCGCGCATGCAGCACCGGTGGCACCCAAAACTTGAGGACTTTGTTATACCAGATCATCGGGGCATCGGCATCCCGATTGTAGTACTCGAAAAAACGCTGCAGCCGATGCCAAAAGGTCCAGTTTGGATCCGGATAGACATTCGGGAATGCTTCGATGTTTTCAACAGTTGATGTGTCCAAGATACCTAAATTGATCGCTTGCGCCATTGACATCGGAATTTTCGTGTCTTCGTTCAGTTCAAAGGAGTCAAGCTCAAAGACGGGCAGCCCTTTTGCCGTGAGTCTATCCATAGCGTCAGCGTCTAAAGGAATGCAAGCGGAAGTCCTCCCTCAAACGCAATGGTAAAACGCGCAAGTGGCTTTCCAGTTTCGTCATCAACAAACTCGCGCGCCGACACTGTGCCGCTCACATTCACTTGACACATCTGCCTAATGAGTTCGTCCGCCTGTACTTTGAATGCCTGTATCGTTGTACGAATCCGTCGCACAGCATTACCATCTGGTTCTCCTTTGATTTCCAGGGCATTCAGTAACGCTCTGGCAAAATTCCCTAAGGCGCTCCGTTGCCAGTTAACACTCCACGCCTCCAATATCTCTTGCGATAGACTGCATTCAAGAAACAGTTCATGTGCTTCCGCTTCATCAACAATACAAAGCCGCTCCGCTTCATTGTCCTGGCCAAGCATCTCTTCCACCATTTCCCCATATCGTGGATTGAAAAAGAGTTGCGGTTGCCCCGATATTTGTGCTTGGGCGCGTTGTAATGCAATGGGTTGCGATAAATAGCCACGCTCCTGGCATTCCACATAGACTGGGCACTTCGGACAGATACTCTCACGCGGATCTCCACCCTTCTTCTCAAGCGCATCGCACCGCTCCGGATCCTCACAAACATTGCCGCGTTGAAACGGAGTCGCCATCCGCACGTCAACGGGTATTGCTTTTACTTGTTCCCACAGGTATCTTCGAGGCCGCCTGCGTACGACCGATGGTACGTTTCGTTTTTGAAAGCTTTGTTCTGTTTCTTCTGCTACCGAGAATATAGCGTTTAAGCTGATTGAACCGCCGTTGAGGGCATAGTTCTCTACTCCATAACTTTTCCCCGCACCTTTCTCGGCAATAAGTCCGAGAATACTTGCATTCCCCTTGAAGGCACGCTGTATTTGAATGGCATTCTCTTCGAGTGTCCCATAAACTTTTTGCGAGTCTTCTGACTTTTGCAGCGTCTTGGATGAACGTTTTATCGCCAACGGGCTGAGTTTCCCTTCACGCACCGCGAGCACTTCATCAGAGACAGGCACGCCAGCAGCTGGTATCGGTGGTAGGATGCCAGTATCGTCCCAAATATCTGTTATCGGTGTAGCTTCCATCGGTAGTCCGGCATTAGGCGTAGAGGCGCGGACCCACACAGTACCGTCCCGTTTCCATAGTAACACGTGTGCGTCACCCTCCTTGCTACCGGGTGGTACCCAATGGTGAAAATCGTTCTCTTGTCGAACATAAGAAAAACCACGCGTCAAAAACGCTTCTGTTGCGAGGTTAAGATTATACGAGTCGGAAGATGGTGGAACAACAATAGCGGCTTCGGAAGTCGGATTCAACCTATTTTGTCCAAGTGGGGCAAGTTCGTGAATCTCACTACGGAGGGTATTGATAGGGGCAAAGAGAACCTCTTTGGAAATCACAGGCGGATCCAACAGATTTCCAAGCACAATCTCGTACCGACCGTCCCAGCGGTTGTAGCCCTTGGCACCAGAGATTTCCAAATATACATCCCGTTGATGTGAATTTTCTACAGTCGCCGTGTGCTTATAGATATACTGCTTCGCGGCCTCAGTATTTGCGTGGAGATACTCTGGGGCTCTACAAGAAAAACGCAATCCACCGGACTTTTGTCAGCGTCAACAATGGATTCGCAACTGCATTGACAAGCGTCTCAATACAGGCAAAAACGGCATCCGGTGCAGCACAGATGGCTTGATATGTAAAATCGAGGTCGTGCCATCGTGCACCATCTTGTTCGGATGGAATACCCGTATACACCTGAATTCCCCACGACGCATGCCATTGTCTCATTATCCAGTCTTCTATGCTTTGGCGTTTCAAGAATCGTTCACCGCCAAAGTCCCTCGGACCGCTATCATACGTTGGGGCGCGCCCTATCGGCATAAAGGAGACATCTGCCTGCTCCAAGTCATAGAGTCTTACACGGTATCTGTGCGCGCAATAGACTGTGAACTGATAAGGTAGACCTTTATACAGCGCAGGCGTTATCACCGTTTTCCGCTGTCGAAGCGGGCTTTCGTGCCGTTGATAGCAACGTTGAATAATATCTTTCAGGAGATCCATAATCTATAAAAAACGGATATGAAAGCCTCGGTTTCTGATAAAACCACGACCTTTAATGTTAATGTAACATGTGTTCAACATAGGAATCCATATATGGATTCGGTTGAATGGTAAGAACAACTTAAATCACTCACTAATCATTTTGTGTCATTAATAGACATAATAATATACACATATATTAACGATTTTATATGATTATATAATCATATAAAATTCTGACCCATAAGTCAAATTAAATTTACAGAGTCATTGAGTTGTCCCACAGGATCAATATTTGGATTTCCCAGAACCTCGTGTAGGAGCGATCTCCGAATCGCGACGGAACCCCAATAAAATTGGCGAAAAACCGAAAACTGAATGGATCTGGGGTTTATACCTCTGATATGTGATAGATGGTCTTCCCTATTTTTTGCAGGAATTTGGGACGACATTCATAAAACCCACTATTTTTTGGCGAAGGTATTGACCTCAAAGTTAATATCTATCAGGACTTACGCAAACTGAGCAAATATCGGACATTTGGACACAAAAAAGCGGTATTTTCCATATTTTTAACCCCCTAAATCCCCCTTATCAGGGGAATTTAAGAAGCAGCGCGTAAGTCCTATCTATAATATCGCAAAATCTCCTTTCAGTCAAGTTTTTAAAACAAAACGATCAGAATCACTCGGTTTCCCATTTTATCCAAAACCCTCTTCCTCTGACGACGGTGATCTGTTACGGGGAAAGGGAATCGGAGAAGAAGACAACGGGATCCAACCGCTGCCACTGACTGCTGATAGTTAACCTCTGATTGCTCTGAAAATATTAAAATCCTGCGAATCCTGATGCTGACAGAGTGAATATCTTAGATCTGTTCTACTTTTCGTCCACCGCAAAATTACCCGACTTGCTCCTAAATTCTCCGTAATGTTCTTTTTTTCTTGCATTTGTGTTGCAAATTATGCTAAACTATTACAAATTATCGCATCAGACCTCAGTTTGGACAGAATTTACCAGCGAACAGAGACAAAACATTGATGCCGCTGAAGAATAAATATTCGCAAAATTGTGGGAAGTGTGGTAAACTCTATCGTAAAGTCATCCGCTTCTGCCTGAGGAGACGTTCAAATGTACGATAAGAAGAACCCTAAAGATACTGACGTAAATGCTGATACGTATAATCTCAAATTTAGTGAGCATGACGAAGAAGTTGAAGAAGAATTCCCTTCTGAAGAAGAGGATATGAGTTCTGGCTATTCGTTGCAGCTCATTCACCATCTTATTACCGAGACACCACCAGAAGACCGGCGCCGTCGATGGCTTCTGGAACTGCGTCGTTCTATTCTCAGTGACGAAGGTGAGTTTAGCGAGAGAATTCAAGCGATTCAGCAGGAAGCACTTCGCATCCATGCCGAAATGGAGGCGCAGATCGAAAAACTCACTTCACCGGCTAATCGTATCGGGACATTGCTCGGATTGCCGAAAGAAGACATCGCGCGCGTCATCGTCGGCGGCTCCGAATACTACGCGAACCTTGATACCCAAATCAACCCTAAAACTTTGAAAAAGGGGTTCAGCATACTGCTTAACGACGCGTTTGTCGTCGTTGGTGAACTCGGATACAACGATGCCGGGCCCATCGCAAAAATAGCCGATGTTATGCCAGATGGCAGGATCCGTATTGGGCAAGAACCGAATGCACAAACTGTTATCCTTGAACGCTCTGCAGACCTCACGGATGTCAAACTGAAACCTGGCGATGAGGTCCGGGTTGACTCCAACTATCGAGTCGCACTTGAACATATTGCTACCAAAGAGACGGATGCTTACGCGCTTGAGGCAGTCCCAAACATTCCATGGTCTAAAATAGGCGGGCTTGACGAAACGATCCAACGTATTAAAGATACGATTGAACTCCCTATCTTGCATCCTAAACTCTTTTCGCGTTTCCAATACAGTGCACCGAAAGGATTTCTTCTCCACGGACCGCCAGGATGTGGAAAGACACTCATCGGTAAGGCGACTGCCTATAACTTGACTCAGCAGCTCCGAAGGGAGAGCGGAGAAGATGTTGAAGGTTGTTTTCTCCACATCAAAGGTCCTGAAATTTTAAACATGTGGCTCGGAGAATCTGAACGGAAAGTACGTGAAATATTTCAGATCGCCCGTGAAAAAAAAGGACGATGGCAAGTTAGCTTTTGTGTTTATAGATGAGGCAGAGTCTATATTAGGAACCCGGCGCGCACTTAGATCCCATAGTATCTCAAATACGCTTGTGCCAATGTTCTGTGCAGAAATGGATGGTATTGAGTCTCTACAAGATGTCGTTATTATTCTCGCGACAAACCGACCAGATCTGATAGATCCTGCCGTTCTGCGACCGGGACGCATTGATAGGAAAATTAAAGTGACCCGTCCAGACGCAGATGCTGCAAAGGATATCTTCCGTATTTACTTCACCCCCGAGCTGCCTATTGCAGCAGAGTTAACCATTGATCCAGAAGCCGAGACAGGAGACGAAACGCCACCCGAAGTTATCCCGCCTGAGAAGGCCGTTGAAGACCTGATCGCACAGGTAGTTGATGAAATGTTTCGTGAGGACGAGGACAACAGATTCCTTGAAGTCTCTCTTAGGAGTGGCAGACGCGATGTCCTCTATCGTGGACATCTGTGTAGCGGGGCTATTATTGAGTCAATTGTACAGCGCGCTAAGGAATCCGCACTCAAACGCGCAATCCAAAACCCTGACAAAGAGAGTGGAATCTCGCGTGCAGATCTGTTAGACGCACTCGCCGCTGAATACCATGAGAGTGAAATCTTCCCGCCAACCGAGGCGACCGAAGACTGGCTCAAACTTCTCGATTACGATCCAGCGAATGTCGTCAAAATTACACCTATCAAAACTGAAAAGCGGGAACGGCGTAAAGCGTCTGGCTCGCGTGTCATTTAGGAGAAATTATCAGTCGTCAGAAATAGAAGCCTGCTTCTTACTGACAACCGACAACTCTAAATGGAAAGACTTTTTGGAATTGAAACTGAATACGGAATCACACTCGAAAATGAAGCACACATTGATGCCGTCAAGCAGTCGGTTGAATTGATCAAGAGTTACCGCCAAGAAGATTTTCGACCGGTGTGGGACTACCGCGGTGAAGATCCGTTGCGAGATGAACGCGGCTTTCGAGCAGACACACTCTCCAATCATCCTGATGAAAAGGAAGAGGAGGCGCGCGACCGAAAACGGAATAAAAAAGAGCAACTCTCTTTTGCCGAAATTAAGAGCGATCATATTCTCGTCAACGGTGCACGCCTCTACAACGATCATGCACACCCGGAGTATTCTACACCTGAATGCAGTAACTTGTTTGACCTTGTCGCACACGATAAAGCCGGAGAACGCATCCTTCACAGATGTGCCGAAACACGCAGTCAGAAACTCGGGAAACGCGTGCTGTTGTATAAAAATAATACCGATTTTCACGGGCATAGTTACGGGTGTCACGATAATTACTTGATGGCGCGCGAAGTACCTTTTGAGACGCTCAAACTGGGGATCATGCCCTTCTTTATAACACGGCAAATCTTCGCAGGCGCAGGAAAACTTGGTATTGAAACTGAAGCAGGGCTCGCAACACCGGGGCATTACCAATTATCACAGCGTGCCGATTTCTTTCACGTTGAGGCGAGCGTTGATACGATGCACAACCGACCTATCGTCAACACGCGAGACGAACCGCATGCTGATGCATCTAAATTCCGTAGACTGCACGGTATCGCTGGTGACGCGAATATGTCTGAATACGCAACGGCACTCAAAGTTGGTACCACCGCCCTTGTTATTGCTTTGATTGAACAACGTAGGGTGCCGGCGAGTTTGGCACTCGCCAATCCGATTGATACCATCAAGACCGTCTCGCATGACCAGACGTATCGCTGGATGGTGATGACAGATGACGGAAAATCGATGTCTGCAATTGATCATCAGCGTGAGTACCTCGCTCTGGCACAGAAACATCTTGATGATGTTGGGGCGTTTGAAACCGACTGGGTCCTCACGGAGTGGGAAGATACGCTCAACGCGCTTGAGAAAGATCCAATGTCGCTCATTGATCGACTCGATTGGGTCGCGAAGAAGTGGTTACTTGAAACCTTTGCAGAAGAAGAGGGAGTCGCATGGGACGACGCATGGCTCCAGAGTTTGGATTTAGAATATCATAACATTGATATAGACGAAGGACTCTACTACGGGATTCCTATGCGGCGCATCGTCACAGACGAGCAGATTGAAGCAGCGCTTCATAACCCGCCTGCTGGCACACGTGCCTACTTCCGCGGGCGCGCTGTTGATCGGTTCAGTGAATCTATAAAAGCAATCCAATGGGATAGTATTACCTTTACCGTGAATGGACGGACCCGGGAAGTCAACCTCAACGCTCTCGCAGAGGCAGAGATCGCACATCAATATAATGAGGCACTTGACGAGTCACCGACCGTCGAAACATTGATTAAAAAATTGCGACTATAGTGGTCATCAACAATCGGCATTCTGAAATTGACTGTTGGTAGCGAAAAAAGGAGAACACAATGACAGCTAATATCATTGCTCAGCTTGAACGCAAGCAGAGAGATACAAAACCCATCGGCCCCGGTGATGGTGATGGTGATACCGACGGACCCAAGCGCGAGAAGGTCAGTCGTCCCGATACGCAAGAATTGCTCAAGCGCATGCGACGTGTTGACAAAGATCAGTCCCGGCGTTACCGCCAAAGAACGGGGGAATAATGCACGATAAGGGTGATTTTCTGAATCTAAGCGGTGCAGAACACCAAGAACTTGCGCTGCACGGAGCAATAAATCACAAAGGCGACTTCCTCAACCTCTTGAAACATGCAAACTATCCGTTGAAGATAGAGTTGCCACCGGAAACTACATTACACGGAACGGATGTTGAAATAGCACATAGCACCACCGTTGTTGCTGTGCTTTACCGAGAGGGGATCATGATCGCAGGGGACCGGCGTGCTACTGCAGGCACCTCTGTTATCTATGATCGAGCTGAGAAAGTTTTGCAGATTGATAGGCATTCTGCACTTGCTATTTCAGGTTCACCTGCAATGGCTTATGAAATTGCCAGAATGTTGGAGCACTCGTTCCAGTATTTTCGGCGCAGCCAGCTTCAAGAGTTGAGTCTCGAAGGCAAACTTCGGATGTTGTCGCGGCTCATCCGGGAAAATTTGTCGATGGCACTCCAAGGCATCGGTGGGGTTATCCCCATCTTTGCACTGTATGACTTAAATACCGACGATGACGAGAATGGCGGAAAGATTTTCTTCTATGACGCACTCGGGGCGCACTTTGAGAACGTTGATTTTGCAACAACTGGCTCCGGTTCTATCTGGATCCGTGGTGTGTTACGTTATATCTCTCGATTCGGCGATACTCCCTTGCACGAAATGGACCAACGGCAAGTGGTTATCACTATCCTGCGACTCTTGGACATCGCAAGTGAGTACGATGCCGCAACGAGCGGATATAATGCTAAAGTGAAAATTTTTCCGACTCTCAAGACCGTAACACGCACCGGCGTTAATACCGTTTCTGATGATGATTTAGCGGCATGGTACGCTGAAGCACAGCCAGAGCAAGTGTAGTTTGAAACGGTGCTGTTTGTGAAAGTTTTGATGCCGTTCCTCAAATAAATTTAAACATTTAAACGGATTGTAATCACCCGCTATTGGGTCAAGTTTTCATTAGAAACGATGATTGGCTTAGCGGTGGCACATACTTATTAAATTATGCGAGATGAACCATATCGCTGGATAGAAGCGATTCAGGATCGACAAGATTATATTGAAGACCAACTCCGATTAGGGAGTCCAGTTGTAGGTATTACCTATGACGATGGCATGATGCTCTTGACTGTCAGCAAAGGGACAACGTAAAATATTTGAGGTACACGACCGGATCTCACTTTCCGCAATCGGACATCCGGCTGATATTGAACGTTTACGGATGCTTGTTACTGATACTGCCAGCGTCCAAGGCTTTCAAAATGCCACTGAAGATATAAATCTACACCGGTTAACTAACTATACCTTGGCACCTGCTTTTAAGCAGGCTTTTGAGTCCATTGTCGGTGAAGCTTATATCATCAAAATGTTGCTCGCCGAACTCGGCAGCACTTCGGGGAAAAACCAATTTACCCGAATCAACTTTGATGGCATTGTCCGAACCGACACTAATTTTGCTATTATCGGTGGAACGGAAGCGATCGAAACTCGGATGCAAAACTATTTCGCTACTGCAAAGACTGACGCAGATAGAGATTTAACCACCGCACTCCGGTTGGCGGTGGAAACTTGGGCAATCGGCAAAGAATTAAGTTCACGAGAGTCGGAAGAGACGGAATCTGAGGAAACCCAAATAGATACCACGCAGATGTACGAAATTATTGACACTGCCCGCGAAGAAGGCGAAATTGAAGTAGGGGTCTTGGAAACAGCACAACCAGAAGCAAGCAAATTCCGACTGCTTACCTCTCAAGAGATTGAAGCCGCGCTTCCGTAGGTCTCGAAGTTAAGAAGGTGAATCTTTATAACACAGGGGGTAGCATAATGCCAGAAAAGATAAAGGCGGCTCCCACAGTCGTCTATCCCGAATCGGATGGTAAACCTATGGCTGAAACCGATCAACATCGGAAACTCATGATGGATTTTATTCTCATGCTTGAAGACCATTTTGAGGATGTCAATGATGTTTACGTCTCTGGGAATCTACTAATGTATTATGAAGAGGGAAACATTTTCAAATCTGTAGCCCCTGATGTGTTCGTCGTCTTCGGAGTCGGTAAAAAAGACCGGCGTACCTACAAAACGTGGGAGGAGGGACGCACGCCCGATTTTGTGTTAGAAATCGCGAGTCCAAGCACGTATAACAAAGATATAACCAGCAAGAAGGAACTGTACGCATCTATTCTTGGGGTTCGTGAGTATTACATCTATGACCCGTGTGGTGAAGTGTATCCACATTTTCAAGGGTATCGTCTCATAGATGGCACATACCAAGCGATGGAATTTGTGAATGGACGTTTGCCGTCGCTTGTGTTGGGTTTGGAATTAGGCGAACATGATGGGGTTCTGAGTCTGTACGATGCAAGTCTTTCGACGTGGGTTCCACCACCTAAAGCGCGGGTTGTAGCAGCGGAAACACGGGCTGAAAACGCGGAAACGCGGGCTTCCGAGGAAGAACGAGCTCGGCGACAGGCGGAAGCACGCGCTTCCGAAGAGGCGCAGGCACGCCAACACGCCGAAACCCAACTTGCCAACACTTTAGCACTTCTTGAGCAGCTTCAGAAAAGGACAGGTAATTGATAAAATTCATGCTGGTGTAGGGCAATTTGCTTGATGATGTAATTGGAGAAAAGACACCTCGCAACTAATCCTCTTATGGTGGACAAAAAATTGTGAACAAGCGCATTTTTGGAATCGAAACTGAATTTGGATGTATGACAGATACCGAGCGGATTCGCGGTACCTCTGAAGGTGTCGCCGCACGGGTTCGCGACTACGTTTTTGATGTACTCGAACTCGGACTTCGCGACATCCACTACCGAGATTGGGGAGAACCCCCCGGTAACGGCGGATTCCTGTTCAATGGCGGGCGGCTTTACATTGATATGGGGCATCTTGAATATGCAACCCCCGAATGTGCTACACTCTTTGATCTTGTCGCTTACGATAAAGCCATTGAACGCATCATCAACAACATCCTCACTGATACAGGGTTACCGACTGCCTTCTTCAAAAATAATATTGACCATTTCACGGGGGCGACCTTTGGATGTCATGAAAACTTCCAAATCAGCCGAGAGGTCCCATTTTACCGTGTAGTTATTCCAACACTCATGCCGTTCTTCGTTACCCGACAAATTTACGCCGGTGCCGGCAGAGTCGGTGTTTATGATGAGATGATTGAGTTTGGTACCCAAGATATATTGGAAGGGCAGCAGGGACTCGCTGAGCAACAGCATTATCAAATCTCGCAACGCGCTGATCACATTGTCACTGAAATTTATGAATGGATTCAGTTCAGTCGTGCTATCATCAATACAAGAGACGAACCACTCAGCGATTACACAAAATACCGACGACTTCATCTCCTCGTCGGGGATTCTAATATGTCGGAGTACGCTACCGCACTCAAGGTCGGAACGACTTCGCTCTTGCTCTCAGCGATTGAGACGTTCTATGAGATGCACGGTGAAAAATTACCGCTCCCGGGTTTTGAACTCGCTGACCCGGTATACGCAATTCGACACGTCTCTCGTGATAATACTTTCAAGTGGCGGGTTGAACTTAAATCTGGGAAAACCATTTCCGCTGTCGATTTACAGCGAGAGTATCTCAACTTCGTTCAGACTTTCATCACCGAACATGACGAAGAAAGCCAGTGGGTCCTTTCTGCATGGGAGTCTATACTGGATGATCTTGAAAAAGATTGGGAGCGCGTTATACCCCGTGTTGATTGGGCTGCCAAAAAATGGTTGCTCGAAACTTTCATTGCCGAAGAAAAACTGGATTGGGATGATCCTTGGATCAAAAGTCAAGATTTAGAATATCATAACATTCATACAGAAAGCGGGCTCTACTACGCACTACAAGCACACGGACAGATGGAGCGCGTTATCACTGATGAACAGATTGAGCATGCTATTGGCAATGCACCACAGGATACCCGGGCAAAAGTTCGGTCTTTCCTGATGCGAACCCTTACGCAAAATCGAATGCCTTGTATTGTTGATTGGCATCAGATCTACGCTGGACATACAGAATATTTTTGAGATGAAAGAACCGCTTGATACCAACATCGCGAAGGCGCAACGATGGATAAAAAGGCTACGGAAGCGACCTGCGCGAAATTAATGTGTAGCCACTGCGTGGCGAGGACTTGCATATAGTTATCAGAGAATTGATTATCGGTCCCAAAAGGTTTTTGATAAGTCAGACACCTCTTTAACCGACAACCGAAAACTGATAACTGCAAACCAATAACAAAATGTCACGCGAATCTGCAGCACAAGGAGAAAACCATGGCTGAAAACAGATGCATACACACGGATTGTGAAGGATTTTACCGTCGGGACTTTCTGAAAGCTGGTGCCCTCGGATTGTTTGGCTTGAGCCTCACAGACTTTTTCCGACTCAAGGCACAAGCTGCAACCGCAGAAGCGAGCGTTAGCGCGCCGAGTGCTTCTACAGGTGCTGCTACATCCGTTATCCTTGTCTGGTTAGGTGGTGGACCAAGCCACCTTGACATGTGGGATCTTAAACCGGATGCCCCTGAAGAAATTCGAGGGCTTTTCAAGCCGATAGCGACCAATGTCAACGGCATCCAAATTAGTGAACATTCTCCCAGACTCGCACAACAAACCGATAAGCTCTGCATCATCCGTTCGATGACCTCTCCAGAGGCAGCGCATGAGCGTGGAACACACTATATGATGACGGGCTATCAACCCTTACCCGGTTTTGCTGTCCCGGGGTATGGTGCCGTTATTTCCAAACTCAAAGAACAGCGGAGTGCTTTGCCGCCTTATATTTCTGTCCCCGCACCTGTCGCTTATGGCGGTGGTGGGTTCTTAGGCGCATCGCTTGCACCTTTCTCACCTGGCGGAAATCCCGCGAGCAATAACTTCAAAGTACGCGACCTCGAACCACCTAAAGGTGTCTCTTTTGAACGTGTTGAACGCCGACGCTCTTTACGCCAAGCCGTTGATGCTGCCTTCAAAAAATATGAGGCAGGCAACCCAGCTGCAGAAGCGGTTGACAACTTCTATACCTCCGCTTATAATCTGATGAGTTCCACCGATGCCCGCGCTGCGTTTGATCTCAATGCTGAACTCGATAAAACGCGCGACGCATATCGACGGGACACCTTCGGACAAAGCTGTCTCCTCGCAAGAAGGCTCGTCGAAGCGGGTGTTAACTTCGTCACAGTCAGCAACGGTGGATGGGATAACCACAACAACATCTTCTCATCTTTGCCTGGGAAACTCAACGCTTTCGATCAGACGATGACTACCTTAATCACAGATCTGAGCGATCGCGGATTATTGGAAACCACGCTTGTCATCGCTATGGGTGAGTTCGGCAGAACGCCGATCATCAACAGAAACGCTGGACGTGATCACCATTCCCGCGTCTTCTCAATCATGCTCGCCGGGGCGGTGTCCAAGGTGGACAAGTCATCGGTGCTTCCGATCCGCTTGGGATGGAACCTGCTGAAACGCCGGTACGCCCAGAAGATTTATCAGCGACACTCTATCAATCCCTCGGTGTTGATTATAATCAGAACCTTGAGTCACCTGATGGGGTCCGTATTGTCCTCTCACGTGGGGGTAGACCCATCCGTGGTGTACTGAGTTAGGTGCGGTTTCTAATCGCGCACTAAGCAACGGGCTGAAGATTGGAAGGATTCGCATCAAAGAATAGAAGGATGGAAGGATGAAAGGGATCGCCCCAATTCTTCTATCCTTCCAATTCATGCTACCTGTTTTTCAATCTTTAACCCCATTGGGACTTACGCATCAAAGTGCTGTTGGGATGGATGGCTTCGGCTTTAGTGCCCATCCAGACATGAACGCACGCAGGGCACGGGGACCCTGCGGAACATAGTAGCGACGAACGTAAATTGCGTAAGCCCTGCCCATAAAAAAAAATGCTTCGTACCACTTTCGTTACGCTCCGTAACATAGTAACCCTCATAGCAGCGTCCTACATCATCTTTGCAACACCACTCGGTTTTGCAGATCAACGGCTGTCGCCGATCTGGTCACTTGAATTTAGTCCTGATGGGAAAACGCTTGCTGTTGGGAAATATCAGTGGGTTGAACTCTGGGATCTGGAGACACAAAGTATTATTCACACATACGAACCTCACGCTGGTGAGGTCCGGAGTCTCAAGTTCGCAGCTACGAGTAATCAGGAACCGTCGTCATTGCGGCTCTATGCAGGTGGTGGCATTCCCGCCCAAAACGGCGAAATACGAATTTGGGATGTCGCATCCGAAGAACTGATAAATAGTTTTGAGATTCACGGCGATACCATTGAATCTATTGCCCTCAGTCCAAGTAACACAACACTGCTCACTGCCAGCATGGATGAATTCAGTGCTGTCATTGATGTAACACTGCTTGAGGATACCGAAGATCCAATAGACAAGCAAGCAAAATGGCTTACCCAACACGTCGGGAGAGTCCTTTGCACCTTGTACCACCCTCAAGGAACTTACTTTGTCACCGGTAGTGAAGATAAAACCATAAAAGTATGGAACCCTAACACTTTCAACGTCATGGTGAACTTTGATGCCAACGATGACGCTGTTTATAGTCTTGCCTATTCAGTTGATGAGGGTGTGATAGTTTCCGGCTCTGCCGATAATGCTGTCCGGACATGGCGCGTTACACCAGCAGGAGATGGCGAGGAAATTGCTGTCGGACGAGATTCACTGGAGATGACAGAGATGACAGGGGCTCTCGTTCGTGAATACAATGGGCATCAAGGTGCTGTTTATAGTGTTGATGCTGCACTCGTATTACCAAGACGCGCGAACAATCAGGCGGCAATGATTGCCTCCGGTAGTGCAGACACTTCCGTGATTATATGGAATCTCCGGTCGGGCAACCGTTATAGCACTTTCGATGAATCGACCGATGCTGTTTACGCAGTGAAGTTCAGCCCGAATGGTGAGTTCGTCGCCGCAGGCGGTCGAGATGGCAAAGTGCGACTCTGGAATCTCCGCAGACGGGCATTAACCCACGAGTTCTAATATGGTTGTTGGCTTTCAGCGGTCAGCACTCAGGAGAATAGTCGTCAGTTATCGGAGGAATAGTTGTCAGTGCGGTTTGCTACGCAAACCGTTCAGTTTTCAGTTAAGAAGCGGGTTGGCACCACAGTCCTCTTTAACTGATAACTGATAATCGATGACTGATAACCGTTCCCGCTGATAGCTACTTTTGGAGGGCCTTTCACGATGCTTACCAATACTATACCCCTTTTGACTAAGCAATATAGCCTTGCAAGTACAATCCGAACGCTTTTCACACTGCTCTTTATTTTTATCACGCTTCCGACGTTTGCACAAGGTACCCCGCGACTCAATTCTCTGTTTCCAGCGGGAGGACAACCTGGCACGACTGTTGAGGTTGCCATCCAAGGTTCTGATTTAGACGGGGCACACCGAGTTATTGTTGAAGGTGAATCTGGGATTACCGCGCAACTTCACCCGGCTGGTGGTGAAATTGATGATACCCATAAACCTGTCTTTGAGGCGAATTGTGGGCAGTGCCACGAACTCCGCTCTCCGAGTAACCGATCGATGACTCCAGCGCAGTGGAAAGCCACTGTTCAACGGATGATTACGGAGAAGGGCGCAGAGATTAGCGCGGAGGCACAGACACAAATCGTTGCCTATCTCTCATCAGCTGCAAGAGCCAGTGCTGGGTTAACCGCCGAATTATCTATTGCACCAGATGCCCCCATCGGGCTTCGCGAAATTCGGATTGTCGGCAAGCACGGCACTTCCACCGCATGGCCCTTTGAGGTTAGCCACACCGGTGATATCATTGAGACCGAGTCGAATAATGACCCAGGATCTGCTACTACTATTGAACTACCAAGCCTTATCAATGGGGTTGTGAATCCCGGTGGTGACGAAGATTATTACGTATTTGAAGGGACCAAAGGACAACGTTGTGTGTTTAGTGTCAAGGCGTACCGCCTTAACAACATCAGCCAGCAATTCTTCAATCCAACGATCTCTGTTTTTGATGCGAAAGGCGTTGAACTCGCACGCAGTAACGGGTTCTACAGCCTTGATCCGCTCATTGATATAACGCTTCCTGACGACGGTCCCTATCTCCTGCGCATTCGAGATCTATTGCATCGTGGTAATCCAGATTCCGTTTACCGACTAACAGGGGGTGTTCTCCCTTACAATACCTATCTTTTCCCTGCTGGTGGAACGGTGCCTGATGGAAGAACGAACCGTACGCACCTAACAGAAGAGACAGGTGCTCTTTCATACGGACCTCCGTCCCCTCCAAAAACCAACATTATTCAGTGTGTTATTGGCGGTGAAAATCTACCCGAAACAGAGTGGCAGGTCAAGTTGATGGCGGATGATCAACCCGGTATCAAGCAGATTCGTACACCGTACGGCATCTTTCCGTTCGTCATCAACACGCACCCTGAAGATATTGAAAAAGATGTTGAACGTCAGTCTACTTCTGACGAACCCACTACACAGGATATCGCGACACAATTCACCGAATCCGAAATCCTTTTTGAAACAAAGTGTAGCGCGTGCCATGAACTGCGTTCACCGAGCAACCGCGCACTCTCGGCTGAAGAATGGACAAGCACCATTACACGCATGGCGAATAAAGAGAATGCAGACATTACACCCACTGAACGCGACCGTATCATCGCTTTCGTCGCCCAAGAAGCACAACGTTTAGGTGAACTCATCGCACGCCAGTTGGAACATGCACAACACCTCACAACCCCTGGCGCAATCAGTGGACGTATCTCAGAACCCAGTGAGACAGATTACTATCGCTTTACTATTTCAGAAGGCACAAGCCTCGGCCCATGGTGGGTAATTTTCCCGTTTGATAACGTTGATGAAAAGGGGTTTGATACCGTCTATCCCCCTGAAACTGAGATTGATTTCGATAAGGAGTACATCGGCAAAGAGGGTCGAAAAATTGGGTGGTATAAAACCAATCGCAGGGGTGAGAACGTCTTCTCGAATGTCCCCGAAGACGATGTTACTGGCTATGCCTTGACCTACCTTGAATCTGACCGTGATCAGAATTATCTCTTGTCCCTCGGTTCTGACGATACCATCAAGATATGGGTGAACGACAAGCTTGTTTTCAGTAAATACGTTCACCGTCCACTTCGGCGTGCTGACGATGTCATTCAGCTGCCTGTCTCTAAAGGCAGAAACAAGATTCTTGTGAAGGTTACGAATGGCTATGGACCGTGGGGGTTTTTCGCAGACATAGGCGGGTATTCGCTCACTGTCTCCGCAGAACGCCTGAGTTCGCCGTTAAGCCCATCTCTCACCTTACTTGATGCAAGTGGGCAGGTGTTAGCAAATAATGCTGGCATTGGCGGCAGACGCAACGCCATTATTGATTACAGTTTCAATCAACCCGGTGAGTATGCTGTTCGGGTTGAGGACATTGCTGGAAACGGCGGCGCAGGATACGTTTATCACTTAGATGTCCGTCCAACAAAACCTGATTTTGCCATCTCCGTAACACCTGATAATCCCAATATCGGACGTGGTGGGACTGTCTTGTTGGGTGTGACGCTGCAACGCCGCGTTGGATTTACAGAACCGATATTGCTCTCCGTTGAAAACTTGCCACCCGGTGTCACTGCCAGTGAGAGCGCAATTCTTTCAGGGACTGGCGTAACGCAGGGATACATTACACTCACCGCCGCGCCCGATGCTGAACTTGAACCTCGTGTCGTTCAGGTTGTCGGTTCCGTCACTACCGCTGCCGGTAATGAATATCGTCGCGCCGCAACGCCTGTTGAGGTCTATCGGATTCAGAACAACGATCAGACTGTCCAGCGCAAAAACGTTGTCGTCAGCGTTACGGAGACCGCACCTATTATGTTGTCAACCGGATTAGAGGAGGTTGTGGTAACCCCAGGTTCACCGATTGACATTATAGTCAAGGTTGATCGGCAAAACGGCAATCGGCAAAATCTGAATCTTACCGCTGTTGGTTTGCCCTTCGGGGTCCGGCTCCGGCGGCAAAACACCCTACTCCGAGGGAATCAAACAGAGGGGAGCTTGACGCTTGTGCCAAACATTGTTTCGACTGGTAGCAATGAGTTGCGTCGTAACCCCTTCATCGGTACACAGCAGACACATCCATACACCGTTGTCATCAACGCGTCAGTCGGCCAACGGATCGTCGCGAGCAGTGCTGCCATCAAACTCTGGCTCGGAAGCCGTCCGGATACAACTCAAGAGGAACCACTCGGCGGAAATTAAGCAGAGCGACCGGGAAATGTTCAGGAGACACGTAGAGCATATTCGGTCCTCAGACTCGGTAGGCGCGGTTTAGCAATATTATAGTAAAGCCTACAATTAAATGGACACTAAGGAATTGGCGAGGTTAGGAAACCTCGCCAGCGGTGGTGAAGTATCAAGCCGTATTGTGTTCAGATGTTTTTGGGCTTTACTATAAAAAATAACCTTTCGATTTTCCGGTAGGTACCGAACTCGTAGAGGCGGGGTTTCCCCGCCCGCAAAAAATAAATTTGACATTCCCGATATTTTGTAGTATCATTAAACTCTACGTTGTGAAGTCGTTTTTGGTGATATATTATAAATCCTCTGAAACTCGGAAATAGATTTGACATTCACAAGGGTTTGTAGTATACTTAATATCACCTTGAACGGTAGTTCCGCAAAATAAATTTGACATTCTCTGATTTTTGTGGTATACTTAATAATGTCTTGTGGGCCAGTTACTCAAATAAGGAGTTTCGGTAAAAACCGAAAGAGAGGTGCAATTCCTCCCTGGTCGATTTTTGAAGATAGATTTGACATTTATATCGTGATTGTGGTATACTTAAAAGCGTGCCACATGGGGGTGTAGCTCAGTTGGGAGAGCGTCTGGTTTGCAACCAGAAGGTCAGCGGTTCAATTCCGCTCATCTCCATCGTCTATAAGCGTTCTGCGCTTTAAATAATAGACGTTGTTCTTTGACAATTGTATAGAGAGGGTAAATCGGTAGAATGATATCACCTTATCAAGCTACTAAGGGCTTACGGTGGATGCCTTGGTGCCAGGAGACGACGAAGGGCGTGACAGGCTGCGATAAGCTTCGGGGAGCCGCTTAATAGGCTATGATCCGAAGATTCCCGAATCGGGCAACCGAGCAGGTTAATCCCTGCTACTCGTGTTTACACGAGGGACAACCAGGAGAAGTGAAACATCTCAGTACCCTGAGGAAAAGAAAGAAAACCTCGATTCCCCCAGTAGCGGCGAGCGAAAAGGGAACAGCCCAAACCCGGTATATGTTCAAGCCTGTGACGCGTTGTATATCGGGGGTTGCGGGGTTCGTTAGGGTGTGGGTACAGACACGCCAGAAAGGACCGTGCTGCTAGTCTAATGTCTCTGGAAAGAGCAACCGGAGCGGGTAAAAGTCCCGTGAGCGAAAGAAGTGACGCTTTTCAACGAGCACCCCAAGTACTACGGGATAGGCAAACCTGTAGGAATCTAGGAGGACCACCTCCTAAGGCTAAATACTCCCTGGCGACCGATAGTGAACGAAGTACTGTGAAGGAAGTGGTGAAAAGTTCCCCCATTAGGGAAGTGAAAAGCCCCTGAAACCGTATAGCCTACAAACTGTGGTAGTGCTAGGTCACGTAAGTGACATGCATGACCGCGTGCCTTTTGCATAATGAGCCGGTGACTTACTCTGTGTAGCAAGATTAAGCATTTTTGATGCGGAGTCGTAGCGAAAGCGAGTCTGAATAGGGCGTTTAGTTGCATGGAGTAGACCCGAAACCAAGTGATCTATCCATGGGCAAGGTGAAGCATATGTAAGAGTATGTGGAGGCCTGAACCCACCAAGGCTGAAAAATTGGGGGATGACCTGTGGATCGGAGTGAAAGGCTAATCAAACTTGGTGATAGCTGGTTCTCCCCGAAATAGCTTTAGGGCTAGCCTCATGTGTTTGGCAGTGGCGGTAGAGCTCTAATTGGACTCGCGGCCCCACCAGGTTAGCAACTCCAGTTAAACTGCAAATGCCATTGTCTTAAGCATGGGAGTCAGTCAGTAGGGGATAAGCTCTATTGACGAAAGGGAAACAGCCCAGACCATCAGCTAAGGTCCCTAAATACGCGCTAAGTGGTAAAGGATGTTTTGTTGCTGAGACAGCCAGGATGTTGGCGTAGAAGTGGCAACCATTTAAAGAGTGTGTAATAACTCACTGGTTGAGCGACTTTGCACCGAAGATTTCCGGGGCTAAGCGTGTTACCGAAGCTGTGGATATCCCGCCAGGGGGCCCGTCAGGGTTTCCGTAAGGGGTATGGTAGGGGAGCGTTCTATAGTAGGACTGAAGGAGAATCGTAAGGCGCTCTGGACGAATTAGAAGTGATTATGCCGGCATAAGTAGCGATAAAACAAGTTAGAAGCTTGTTCGCCGAAAGCCTAAGGATTCCTGAGCAAGGTAAATCCTCTCAGGGTTAGTCGGATCCTAAGCCGAGGCCGAAAGGCGTAGGCGATGGGAAGCAGGCGTAATATTCCTGCACCACCATGACACGGATGAAACTAGGGGCGACGCAGACAGATAGGGACTACCAGCTGATGGAATGCTGGGTTAAGCCCGACGGAGTGCACCAGGCAAATCCGGTGCAATAAACTCCTGAGGGTGAACAGGATTCCGTAAGGATGCAAACTGTCCCGACTGTCTGCCAAGAAAAGAACCTCGAGTGGACAACTCGTGGTGACCGTACCGTAAACCGACACAGGTAGGCGAGGAGAGAATCCTAAGGCGCTCGAGAGAACTCTCGCTAAGGAACTCGGCAAAATTACCCCGTAACTTCGGGAGAAGGGGTGCTTTGAGTAGGCTGGTTTCTGAAAGAAGCCGCAGTGAAATGGCCCATGCGACTGTTTACTAAAAACACAGGTCTCTGCTAAATCGTAAGATGATGTATAGGGACTGACGCCTGCCCGGTGCCAAAAAGTTAAGGTGAGGAGTGAAGGGTAACTGGAAGCTCTGAACTGAAGCTCTGGTAAACGGCGGCCGTAACTATAACGGTCCTAAGGTAGCGAAATTCCTTGTCGGGTAAGTTCCGACCTGCACGAATGGCGTAACGACATGGGCGCTGTCTCGGCGAGAGACTCGGTGAAATTGTAATACCGGTGAAGATGCCGGTTACCCATACCAAGACGGAAAGACCCCGTGAACCTTTACTATAGTCTGATATTGGGTTTTAATGTTGCATGTGTAGGATAGGTGGGAGACTGTGAAGCTGGGACGCTAGTTTCAGTGGAGTCGTCCTTGAAATACCACTCCTGTTGCATTGGAATTCTAACTCCGGCACGTGAATCCGTGCCGAGGACAGTGTCAGATGGGTAGTTTGACTGGGACGGTCGCCTCCTAAAGTGTAACGGAGGCACCCTAAGGTTCCCTCAGTGCGATTGGAAACCGCGCGTAGAGTGTAAAGGCAGAAGGGAGCTTAACTGCGAGACGGACACGTCGAGCAGATGCGAAAGCAGGGCTTAGTGATCTTACGGTGCTGTGTGGAAAGGCCGTAACTCATTGGATAAAAGGTACTCCGGGGATAACAGGCTAGTCGCCCCCGATAGCTCACATAAACGGGGCGGTTCGGCACCTCGATGTCGGCTCGTCACATCCTGGGGCAGAAGCATGTCCCAAGGGTTCGGCTGTCCGCCGATTAAAGTGGCACGCGAGCTGGGTTTAGAACGTCGTAAGACAGTTCGGTCCCTATCTGGTATGGGCGTAGGATATTTGAGAGAAGCTGCCCCTAGTATGAGAAGACCGGGGTGGATGTACCTCTAGTGCACCAGTTGTCACGCCAGTGGCACCGCTGGGTAGCTATGTACAGAACGGAGAAACGCTGAATGCATCTAAGCGTGAAACCTCCCTCAAGATAAGATATCCCACAACGTTAAGTTGGTAAGGCCCCTTCGAGATAAGAAGGTTGATAGGCCAGATGTGTACACCGCGCGAGCGGTTCAGCTAACTGGTACTAATAGGCCGAGGGCTTGATAACTTTTTTCTTCTACCGACCCCTCACACATATACAATTGTCAAATATTCTTATACACCTTTCCGGTGGCTATAGCGAAGGGGAACCACCCGTTACCATCCCGAACACGGTAGTTAAGTCCTTCAGCGCTGATGATACTTCGGGGGCAACCCCGCGGGAAAGTAGGTCGTTGCCGGGAGACTCTCAAAGGGCAGGTTCATAACCTGCCCTTTTTCTTCTTAAAGACTTCCCTATAGATAGAGCCTTTCAGTTCTCCCGTAGTTTCGATTTTTCGCGCAAAATTTCCTCGCTGTAGGAGCGGTCTCCCAGTCGCGACCCGTTTTGTTTTGCTCGCGAGTCTTCAACCTCCTACTGATCGCTGATTGCTGGATACTGAATGCCTCTGGACTTCCCTGACAGGGCTATTTATAGTAGATTTCAGAATTAATTAGACATTCTCAAACAGTGTGAATGCTGCTAACGAGCATTCACACTGGCACAAACTAACAGTTTATGCTACAAAGATGTCCACTTATTTATAGGCTTCACCATAGTTTTCATTTTTTTATCCATTTTGTTAGTAAAGTCGCGAATCGAAGCGTGCTTCTACAGGGGTATGTTGAGATTTAGGGTTCACTCTTATCGGAGAGCTAAATGACCCTGACTTCTCTGATTTCCTCTTGACATCTAACTAAGTATGTGATACAATATCTCTGGCTTGAACGCATCCGTACATTTGTTTGTTCAGTCGCAAAAATTAATTCACTCGGAAATGGGTCAGATGTTTCAGTCAAGCCACACAAACTGTCTAATAGACGCGATTGAAAATTAATTGAAATATACACCACTATTCCAGACACGGAGAGATCTATGAATCAGTTGAATATAATTCTCATTGTTAGTGTATTATTAGTCTCAGTTATTATCGGTTGTTCAAGGACTACCAAACAACCCATTGCTGAAGAAGGCGAAGAATCAGGCACTGAACTTGCACTGGGCGAAACCTACGATGAGATCCGAAACGGGGCACGACTGATCTTGGCTTACGACGCACAGAGCAATGCCTTCAAGGGGACTGTGGAGAATACCACTGACGAAACATTGAAGCAGGTCCGGGGTTGAAGTCCACTTATCAAACGGGAAAGAACTCGGTCCAACACCCGCAGCGGACCTCGCTCCCGGTGAAAGTAGAGAGGTCGAACTCATCGCAACGAGCACCGATTTTGACGGATGGACTGCGCACCCTGAAGTAGGAGAGGGTGAACATAGCAGTGGTGGAGAGCACGGTGAGCAGGACTCAGAACATGGCGGTGAGCATGACCGAGAAGGCGAGGGTGAACACAACTAAGGGAGTTTCAATTTACATCTGTCTGCCTGTGCCGATCTGATATTGCTGTTCGGATTCGCAACGCTGGCATACATTGCGAAGCTGTCCGAAAATGTCCGCCTATGGGTAAATGTGAATATGCCAGTTTCAAGTCGTGAAGTGATTAGAAGGTTAAAGAAAGAGAAGTGTATAAAGGGCTGAAGAACGCGAGGTGTTTTATGCACACACACTACCCCATTGTTATTCACAAAGACCCGGATAGCGACTACTGTGTAACTGTCCCTGATCTACCCGGTTGCATAACCGCAGGGGATACGCTTGATGATGCACAAAATCAAGCCGCCGAAGCGATTCAATGTCATATTGAGGGTATGTTACTTTATGGTAAGTCAATCCCTCAACCGAGAGATATCGCGTTCCATCAACATAATCCAGACTACGCTGATGGACGGTGGGAATCGGTAAAGGTAATTATCCGTGATGTTTCTGAAATTCAGGTTGTTCAGCCCGGTCCGATTCGCCGGTTTTTCCGATGGTTCAGCCAAGCTACTCAAGTACTCAGATAGGCGTATCCAATTTTACGGAGAGGCAAAAGATGAGATTCTTATTCACTCTATTATTGTTGTTCGGGTTCGTGACGCTTGCATACACAGCGAAACCACCCGAAAATATCCTCAAAAATGGCGATTTCGACCTCAGCCTTGAAGGATGGCACCATTGGACGCATGCCGATGCCGCTGCTCTTTTTCAAACCGAAGGCAAAAAAGCGGAACCGATCGCCGGAAAAAACGCAGCCTATATCAAAATCAGCAAGGTAGGTGGCGCACTCGGGCACATCCAACTCTATCAGCAACCTTTCACATTGGAAAAAGGCACTACCTATACCTATAATTTGTGGGCGAAAAGTGAAAAACCCAGAAACGTTACTATGCGCATTATGCATCAAGGGGCTCCCTGGAATGTATACGCAGCAAAATCAATCAATCTGTCCGAAGACTGGAAAGAATTCTTCATCACGTTTGAAATGCCAGTGGATGACGTGAGTTCACGTGCAGGTGTTATCATGGGTACAGAGAAAGTCGATGTCTGGCTCGACCATATCCGCCTCTACGAAGGCGAATACGTAAGCGACATTGAAGGCGCCGAACCACAAGTGGTTGAACCTTCCGGTAAAGTAACTATAACATGGGCAGAACTGAAAAGTGAGGATTAAAATTGTTTTAGGGAGCAACCAATACAATGTCAAAATTATATACGCAAATCTCTGAAAAATTACAGCAATTCATCGAAAACCAAAAAAATCTTTTTTGTTGCAACCGCAACAGCTGACGGTAGAATTAACCTATCCCCGAAAGGCATGGACTCCTTACGCGTCCTCGGTGCAAACCGCGTCGCTTGGCTAAACGTGACTGGAAGCGGAAATGAAACCGCCGCACACGTTCAGGAAAACCCGCGGATGACGCTGATGTTTACCGCTTTTGAAGATGACCCCTTGATCCTCCGACTCTACGGCACCGCGAAGGCTATCCACAAAGACGATGCCGAATGGCAGCTTCTCTTTCCACTATTCACGCCACTACCGGGGGCACGACAAATCTTTGACCTCAACATTGACCTCGTGCAAACCTCTTGTGGAATGGCTGTTCCGATTTATGAATATGTCGGTGAAAGAGGGCAGCTAAATACATGGGCAGAAAAGAAGGGCGAAGAAGGTGTAGAGGCATATTGGAAAGAAACCAACCACGTCAGCCTTGATGGAAAACCGACCCACTTCGCTTAGCGACTTGTGCCAACTCTCCCTTGTTTTCTCCTTGAATTCGGTGTGTAAAGTTTGTGGCATTAACTGCCCAAACTGTTCTGGTGCCCTTGTGGGCATGGTCCCTTTGTGGGAGGGGTTTGTAACCTCGATTTTGGAACAATAGGGTGTGTAAAGTTTTTGGCATAATACCGAATTACCTTGATTATTCACATACCGCTCCGCTGGAGCGGAAGACTCTAAACACCACCCGGGCTATAGACATACCGCTCCGCTGGAGCGGAAAACAACCCGCATCTGTTGACTTTGCTCTTAGATGTCTCCGAAAACTGTTTGAATCCTTTGCTTGTAGGAGGGGTTTGTAATCCCGATGCTGGAAACCTCCAACTCAAGCTTTTGACAAAATATTTACACACCCGGAACAATAGGTTTTCTTGCATATAAGCCTGAAACAATGTATAATATACATTGGTGTCAGAGATACGTTCCTCCTGCCCGACGAGTCCTTAAAAAAATACAAATGTCTGGGAAACGTACCCACCTAACCAGAAACCGGTTTTTGACAACGGAAAAAACCGAGAAGAAACCTAATAGTTAAAAATTCGGTTTTTGACAACGGAAAAAATCGAGCAGAAACCTAATAGTTAAAAATATGAAATTGTCATTTATCTTCACTATCGCGCTCTTTATAACATGCTTATCTATCGCACACGGACTCCCCCCTGATGCCGACTCCAGAGCGCAATCCAAACCGCTCGGAAATTCACTAATCTTAAACCCGGGTACGCCCAAAGCGAAATAACCGAATGCGTAACCGATAGTTTTGTCACCCTCGCCAAGAATTGGCACAACTTACCCGCGATATATCGACAGGAACTCAAGCCAATTTTCCTGCGACCCGGACTCCCCGGCAGTTTCTTCGGCGAGATAGAATTGCCAAAAAAGTTTAATACACCGCACTTCAGACTCCATTACACGCGTGTCGGAGCGCACGCGCCACCACTTGAAGATTTTCACCCACGCAATGGTGTGCCTGATTATGTAGACCTCTGTGCTGATGCGATGGAACGCGCCTACCACGTCCAAATCGACCTGATGGGATTCAAGGTCCCCTATATTGATTTCTGGGCAGCGCAGAATGGCGGCAATCATAAATATGATGTCTATCTCTTTACCTTCCCAGCACTCGGCATTACTACGGCGGATTGGTTTGAAGGACGCGTCTTATCTACCTCAGCACTGACCGTCGCACCGTATTCAGATCAATTTCGCTCTACGATTACGTCGGCAAAGCCGAGGGAATCCGCTATCTTGAAACAACTTGCACACACGAATTCCTGCATGGAGTCCAGTTCGGCTATAACGCCTATATGCCGATATGGTTCATGGAAGCCTCCGCAACGTGGATAGAAGTGATGACTTACGACGGCGGACGTATTGACGATGGCGATACGCTCCCCGATCCCGATGAGCCTAACGAAACCGATTCCTATAACTATTACATCCATCAGCTCCGCCGCTGGTTTCTCATTCCCGATATCTCACTTGAAAGTCGCATCGGGGACCACGAATACGGTTCCGTTATCTGGACATTGTATATGGCGGAACGCTTCGGATACGATATTGTCCGGCAGTTTTATGGGAATACCACCGATGGGAGTTATCGCGAGATGGGGAACTTCTACGATGTTTTTACCGACAACGGCACCACCCTCGCCGAGGCGTTCAAGACCTTCACGGTATGGAATTATTTCACACGCAATCGCGCTAATACGCAACCGATATGCCCGGCTACAAGTACGCACATCGTTTTCCTCCGGTTGCTATTCATCCAAACGATGTCCACCAGTTTATCCAATCCACACCGATTTCAATTCGAGTCCATGCCTGAGCATTTCTCGTCAAGGTATATAGTCTTCAGACCTACGGGTATTATGCCAGAATTCGCAATCAAAATTGATGGAGCAGACCTTGCACCTATAGATATGAGCAATCTGACACAAACTGACCGAACAAGAATTCAGAGGGAATTGGACCGACACACATTTACGGGGTTACGTGGATGGGCTGCCAAGTTTATCGTCAAAAAACGGAATGGGACTACTGAAGTTAGGGAGGCATTTACCTATCAACGTTCCCAAGAGGCACAGATGACCTTCAAAGATTTCGGCGGAGATATTCAGGAGGTTGCGCTTATTCTTATCAATATGCATCCTGATGTTGAACAGGTTATCATTCCGGGTGGGACTTTCGGCGGGGCTGTCAGTTATACGGCAGGTACGCCACCGACAGGAACGCTTTCCAACGCACAGGTTTCCCAAGGCAGTAATGGACCCATCGTGACGTGGAATGTCGACTAACCTTGACTGGTATACAGGAAGTTGCAATCGTAAGGAAACGCTATGTCCTACAAAGTGAGACGGATGTTCCACAACCTTTCCAAAACGCCGATGAAGTCCTCGCTGCTGCTGACCGAGATGGCAACGGTATCCCTGAAGACGATATAGAGATCGTCGGACGTGTGAACATCACGCAAACTCAGTTTGAAGACACGGCTGTCTTTCAGGATGTTAATGTTAATAGCATATTCTTTGATCCAAACAACACCCACTATTACTATGCTGTTGTGCCTGTTAACGCTATGGGTATTATGGGCACACCGAGCATCGCACCAAACGACATTGTACCAAGGTTTGATACGCCGAGTGGTGCACCTGCCTTCTTTGTTCAGACACAATCACACGGCACAGGGGCGTGGCAGGTTGAAGTGCAAAGCACACTACCGCTACAAGGCGCGCCACACCTAACAGTGGAAAGTCCTAATAAAGATAGTTATACCGTCTTTTTAACGCAGAAAACCGAAACAAAATGGATCGGAACACTCCGCACCAATGGGTTTCCACCGTCAGGTGTCTATATCTATAAAATTCTCGGACAGACTCCAGCTGGCGTAACAGGCACCCGAATCTGGCAAGGGCAAACCTTCAACTATGTCGCAAATAGTGCGAATCGAAATGTCACAGTCGCACCTAACCCACTCTATGCCGGACAGGGGACACACCTATCGTTCTATCCGAAAGGCTTAACCGTTGAAATCTACGACGCTTTAGGGAACTTAATTAAGGTACTTGACAATGCATCCGAATGGGATTGCACAAACGCACGCGGCGAAATGGTCTGCACCGGACTCTACTTCTTCCGAGCAACCGATGGGAACGGCTTCCAAAGTACCGGAAAATTCTGTGTGGTGAAATGATGAAAAGTCATCAGTTATCAGAAAGAATAGCGATCAGAAAAGATCCCTCTGATAAACGGATCTCCTCTTTACTGGACCCTGACAGTCGATTGCTGATAGCCATTCCTATTATATTTCTCTTACTATTCCTCTGTAGTTGCGGAGACGAAGGGTTAATTGACCCGCATGGTGAAACCTCGCTGCCGCCTCCTAATACAACCGGACGTTTACACGCTATTGACTTCCCAACGGATACAGGGTCCGCGTGGACCTATATCAACGTTGATACCGACGAGGAATTCACGCTCCGAGTCGAAGGCACACGCGATGTCGGTGGAACGACACATCGGCAGATGACTGTTAGTCCAATTAGTCCGGGTGACCCCGACCAATTCAACTGGCAGGCTGTTGACCACTTGGTCGCAAATGCCTTCTATTTACGGTTTGACACCGAATTTGTGGATGTATTCCCGTTTCCAATTTTTGCGACCTACTTTTCCAAGACACCGCAAGCATTAGTGGAATCCGCGTTTGACATTTTCCTACCTGACCGACCTACTGGGATTACAATACAG